GCTGCCCCACGTCCCACGGGATTTGAGCACAGCCGTGACATTCGCAGCCAGCCCCGGAGCTCATTCACACCCAGGTGCGACCTGTTCTCCAAATTAAAACGGAAAGGCCAGAAATCACGCGGCTAACGAGCCCGGTTCCCCATGGATGCCTCACCCCCGCATCCAGCCCTGCCGGGAAAGAGCTGCACGTCCTGAGCATGTGGCTTTTACAGGGACAAGGTCGTGATGAAGCCACCAGATCTCGTTCAAGGCACCCCTAAAATGAGGTCTCCAGGGCTGGGCAGCTTGCTGGAGCAGAGCCCTGGGGCCATGCCTCGCTGCTGGCCGTGCTCAGAGCCAGGGGCTGGAGGACGCTGCTCTTGCAAGCACGCGTGCAGTGTAATTATATGGTCCTGGGTGGTCTTCAGCTCTCCCCTGCTCAGGGAGAAGAAAGAAGAGGTTCCTCCTAATTGGATTTTCTCCCCGCTGAAGGGTCCTTTTCTTGCTGTCTTGGCTTCCCACCACTCCCTTTCATCTGCCTGGGACCTGGCTGTACCCACTGAGCACAGAATCACAAAATCACAGAATTGTTTAGGTTGGAAAAGACCCTTAAAATCATCAAGTCCAACCGTTAACCCAGCACTGCCCAGTCCACCACTAAACCATGTCCCTAAGCACCACATCTACACGATCTACACAAGTCATTTACACACTGGACTCTCTTTGGAATAAAAAGATAAATAAGGTCCAGAATAAAATATAATGAGTATCCTGCGGTTACACCGGGAACAGCCCTGCGCTCGGAGGGGGAGCTGGTCACTCCTGCACCCCAACGGCAGAGGTGGCTCTCCTGCATCCTCCAGAGATGCCGGGGCACCAATGTCCCTGGGAAATGCCGTGGTCCCCGGCACCGGCAGCGGGGAGGGTGAGCTCCGGCTGCGGTTGTCTCCGGGAAGGACATCTGAAAGCATCGGAGGCATCCAGCACCGGCTGGCGAAGCCGCGGCAGAGGATGCTTCATCTCACCCCCTCCCCTGCAGCCGCTCCGCTCAACGAGGTTTCCTAAACAGATTTCGCATCTTCCTTATAAACATAAACGGCTCAGATCGGCCTGATGAAGATGAAAGAGCCTTTAAAGTGGGAATCATAGCTCCGGTTTGGGCCATCAAGTATCTCAAAATAGCTCTCCGTCATGGAAAAACATTGCAGATCGGGGGATCCGTCAGGGAGGACAGAGGCAGCTGACGCAGTTGTGGGCGCTGCGGTGAGATGTGGATGGTTTGAGGATGGATTTGGGGAGGACGGGGGGTCTGGAGAAGGTGTGAACCAAACTGAAACGCTACAGAGGTTATTCCTTGAACCTCCAGTGCTTTGTCTCTTTAGTAACCCGCTACGGAGGGTTTCATCCAGTCCCGGGGTATTCGGGTGAATCTGTTGCACCCCAATATCCTTTGGCAAGGAGATGGACACGTCTGCAGCCCGCTGAAGGACAACCCACCTCCTTTTTCTTTATTCTCAGCCTCTTCTCCAGCTGTTGGAAAGAGGGGAGGATCTCCAGAGGACGTCGCTTCAGGATGGAGCATCTCCACCCTGAGGCAGATGCTCAGGGTGGCTCAACCACACTCCAGGTCTCTCCAGCCCCAGTGTCCTGCTTATGGGCTGCTCCCCCTGGGAGATTCATCATCTCATAACCATGCAAATCAACAACGGTGCTTCATACGGGCTGGTAGGAGGGATGCTCACAGCCCATTTCTAGCTCTTGCTTGAGCCCAGACCCGACAAAAATCACTGTTCGGTGCTCCAGGAGGATGGCCCAGCCCTTCAAGGGCCACCTTGGCTTTACATCCTGGGGATGGAAAATCCCAGTGCAGATGTGTTTCGCCACCTGGGTAAGCCCACAGCTGGAAAACAAGACCTTAAAGTCTTCAAATCACCCCGTGATCCCAACGTGTGGCTGAGGAGCGGTGCCATCACGACGGGATGCTTGTGGAGAGCAGGCAGTGGAGGTGATGAGCAAGGTCAGAGGCAAATCCTCCTCAAACACGTGAGACACGGGGTGTAAAAGGCCGTGTAAACCCTGGGAAACCAGCTCTGAACACCATCCTGCTGCTGTTAAACCCCCCGCACGGGGCCTGGCGGGGTTTGGGGATGTGGTTTTACCCCAAACCACCCCAGGGTAGAGTCAGGAGTTAGCAAAGCCACAGCCATCCACAGGGGTGGTTTGCACGTCACCACCCTCTTTTGGGTGGAAAAAGAGAGTTGAACCCTCCGGACAGGAGCCAGCTGTCCGGGGGGGGCTGCAAACTTGGCCCCAGATGAGTTTCCCCATCGCTCCAAGCCCCTCGGATCCCCCAGCCACCTTCCAGGCTTGCCCCAAGGCGCTCTCCTGCCCTGAACACGTTGTAGAGGATGGAGCATCCCTCTTGCTTGCCCATGCAAGGCTTGGCCAAGGCACGTGAAGGAGCCTCCTGGAAGCCACCACTGCTCTTACCCATAGAGCAGCCAAGGCCAACCCTTAGAAAACATGAGTTCTGCTGGGCTTTGGGCCTCTGGGCTTTGATGGGCGCGGAAAGGGAGCCTGACTGAGCCACATAAACCTGTCCGTGCTCTGGAAAAGCCACCCCCAGGCTGGAAAACGCTCTCCTGCTGCTTTTGCACCCAAAGCTGGCAGCCGCAGGACTCCCTGGCACATCAGGCAGAGCTGCCCGCTGCCTGCGCCCACCCTGCCCGGCCTGAGGAGCCGCTGCTGTCCCGAGAGGTTTGCTTTTAACCAAATCCCCTTTTATCCCATAGAAAAATAACGCCAAATCCTCAGCACCCATCAGAGCACGAAGCCCTCCCACGCCTGAGCCCAAGGAGTGACGGATGCTCCTCTCCGGCGTGCCGGTAATAAACAACCCATGCCAAAGCCACCGCTGTCGGTGCTGGCTGGTACCTGGTGAAGGTGCAAACGCAATTAGCAGCATCGCCCGGAAAACTTTGCCGGCTGCGGTTCATGGAGAGATGCTAATCCCTCCATCCGCCGTGCGGCCGGAGCCGGCGAACGCCGGTGGCTTGTTCATCTTTTGTTCGGTACCTGGAACGGTCCCTCTCACCTCCCCTCTCGCCCCCCCTTCCCTCCGGCAGACAGCAACGGATGCAATCGTTGTGGGGGAATATAAAAAGCCGCCGGGACCAGCGGCCAAGTGGCAGACGCTCACCGGGAGCACGCGGGAGAGGGGGACGGAGAGCACGCGACGGTGGTCAGGCTCCCGCCCCGGCCACAGGTAAGCCCCCAAAAACCAACGACCCAACCCTGTGGGTCTCACCAATACGTTTTGGGGTGCATGGGGGGAAAGAAACTTTGCAAAAATATGGGTTTGGTGGATGGTGGGGACCGGTGGCTGCGGAGGGGCGACACGCCGTGATGGATGGCCACCAGGCAGGGGTTTCCCAGTGAGGGACGGGCGATAAAACACCCCCTTCCCTCCCTGCCTCCGGCTTATCGCCCTCTCATCTCCCTTTATTGTCGGGTTTATTTGCTTTATTGGGTGTTAACATGTTCCAGAGGTGCTGCCCGCTGCCGCCCCGCACTCTTCGTGCTGCTGCACTGGGGGGTCCCGGGCAGCGACACCCACAAATTCGGGCAGAGGACAGAAAGACAACCTTTACATTTAAATTTGGTCTGTCTCGCTGGTTTATCCTCCTTTCCGAACTGCTATTTGCTGTCATAAATCCAGGATCTTTTTTCCCTTTGCTGAAGAAAGTCCCCCTCCATCCATGCTCGACCTGGCGGCTCCTGCACCAGCGGGGAGGGTCAGCTCTCCCCCCCAGCCGCCCATTTTGGGCCAAAATGAGATTTTTCTTCTGTTTTCTTTCAATGTGGGATGGAGAGCTCTTGCAGCACAGGGGAAGGTGAGACACATGAATCCACGCCGAGTTAAATACAGCTGCTTGGGAAAGAGTTGGGGTTTGCAGAGGAAAAGCAACCCGGGGATCCCGGGGGAGCCTGGAGCCGGGGCCCGTGGGCATCCAGGAACCGACCCCAACCTCATCCTCGATGGCACAGCAGCAACGGCCGCTTCAGCCCCCAGGTTTCGGCCAGATCCTGCGTTAATTTTGGCAGCCCTTGGGGCACGCCGTGTCCCAAACACCACCCGCGCTTGCCATCCCCCTTCCCAAAAGCCAAGCAACCGACTTCAATATAATTTAAAGTAAAACATTCACGTCTTACTCTTCTAATCCTAATTTAAGATTATTTGCCGTTGTGTCTCCCACCACGCAGGAGTTTTGCAGCCGCTCGAGGGGCATCGCAGGACAGGTTAGGAGGGAGCATATATTTTTCGGAGGAATCAGCTTGCAAGCCGCGAGCGGTTGGCGAGGGATGAGACCTGAAGGCAGCTCCCGAACGCTTTCCCCTTGCAGCATCACTCATCTTTATGGGGTTCTTAGGAGGCGGCAGCAATCCCCGCTGACAGCGGTTGTCACCGACGGTAGCAGTGACAAAAGAGCTGGGCTCCAGAGGGACCCGTTTCTGTTGGGAAAAGGCAAAAGGAAGAGGCAAAGGGGGGGATGTTGCCCGGTTTTTGGAGCGGCTGAGCGGGAGCGGAGCGATGCGGGCGCAGGCAGGGAGGCAGGTTCGGGTGTTGCCTTCCCTTTTCGGTGCCTCGGTTTCTCCGCCAGTAACATCACCCCCCTGCTCCTGGGGTGTAGGAAGGAGCATGGCTTTGCGAGGAGCTTGAAGAGGGAGGAAAGCTTTGCAGAAGGAGGGGTTGGCAGTGCCAACGCGTCTCCCGGGGGGGACAGGCAAAGCCGCTGGGGGGACGCAGGTCGGGGATGCAGGAGGGGACCCCGCTCCTGCAACCCCAGCAGAGGCGACTTCGAAAAGGGAAAGGGCAAGGTGAACACATCAAAGCATTACAGAATCTCCTGAAGGGAAGGAAAAGAGGGGTTTGTTTTCTTTTTTTCCCCATAGTTCCTGCAGGATTTCTGGGCCCGCGGCCCCTCGCATCCCTGCTGCGACCCCGGCCTCGTGTTCCCGGCCAGGATGCCGAGCGTGCTGTGGAGCTGCCTGCCCGTGGTGCTGGGGCTGCTGCTCTGGCACCCCGCCGGCGCCAGCGGCCCGTGCTGGGAGAGCAGCAAATGCCAGGACCTCACCAGCGAGGCCGGCATTTTGGTAAGCCCAGGGATGGGGACTGCCCTCCGCTTGCTTTGGTTTCTCACCCCCCGCCAGGGATGGGGGGAGGAGGTGACGGGGATGCCGACACTGCGGGGTGACCCATATCGATGTGGGGTGATGCTTTGGACCCAACGACCCACAGGTTTCAGTGGGGGATGATGCTAAAATAAGTTTTTGAGCTTGCAGCATCCCTCCTGCACGGGATGAAGCAGCAGTTTGGGTGTCGGCGCTGCCCCGCACCCACGGGTGCTGGCAGAGGCTGTGCCCCCTCTCCAGCACTGTTTCCAGCCCCCCAGGGCCGGTTTGGTGCCTGGGCACGATGCTCCAGGCTCAGCCCTTGAAGCTCCCTGCCAAGGGGACCTCGGCGGGACACGAGCACGAAACCATCTTGTGAAACATCCCGCTCCGTGCAAGCAGCCCCCTGCAAATCCCCTCCCGGGGACCCCCGGCCACGCGCTCACCCTTCATCTCTGTCCCCCCGTGCAGGCGTGCGCCGCGGCGTGCAGGGCCGACCTGTCGGCGGAGGCGCCCGTCTACCCGGGGAACGGGCACCTCCAGCCCCTCTCCGAGAGCATCCGCAAGTACGTGATGAGCCACTTTCGTTGGAACAAGTTCGGCCGGAGGAACAGCAGCAGCGGCGGCGGGGGGCACAAACGGGAGGAGGAGGCGGGGGGCAACCCACCGCCCCCCCCCCCCCCCCCCCCCCCGCCCCGCCGCGAGGAAGAGCAGGGAACCGGGCTGGAGCGGGAGGAAGGCAAACGTTCCTACTCCATGGAGCACTTTCGCTGGGGAAAGCCGGTGGGACGCAAGAGGAGACCCATCAAGGTCTACCCCAACGGGGTGGAGGAGGAATCAGCCGAGAGCTACCCGCTGGAATTCAGGCGGGAGCTGGTGCTCAGCAGCACCGGGGCACCGCCCGAGGAGGAAGAGGAGGAGGAGGAAGGCCAGGAGGAGGAGAAGAAAGCCGGCAGCTCCTACCGCATGCGCCATTTCCGCTGGCAGGCGCCGGTGAAGGACAAGCGCTACGGGGGCTTCATGACCTCGGAGCACAGCCAGACCCCTCTAGTGACTCTCTTCAAAAACGCCATCATCAAAAGCGCCTACAAGAAGGGGCAGTGATGGGGGGAGAGCCCGAGGGGCCTCGCGCCCCCGCCACCGTCCCCCCCCGTAGCTTTAGTGTCCCGCTGGCATGTGTTTCACTTAGAGATCACTCGTTATGTCGTTCTTAATTAGTACTCCAAAGGGATCCGCTCCCGGGTTTCGCTGGGTGGGAAGAGGTTGGGGTAAAGACGGCGACCGCCTCGCCGCACCCGCTGGACACGGACGGGGAGCGGGGATGATGCCCAGTTCGGAGCACGCCAGATGATTTTCGTATTTTCACTGAGCTGTACAATACTGTAAATGATAGATTAAAAGAATTCTAAAAAAAAAAAAAAAAAAGACTTTTTTTGCAAGCTCACGGGGTGTCGGCAGCGTCTCTGGGGGTGCCTGGTGTTCGTAAAGGGGCAGAAAAAATGATTGTGAAGTAAAATCTTGCAGCTGGGGGGTAAAGAAACATAGTTGGGGAGCGTGTTTGGGGGTGAGGGGAGAAAGGGGAATTCTGCACCCCCGGCCCGGGAGCTTCCCGGGAGCCGTGGGGCTCCAGCACGGCTGGGCTCGCTGCAGCCAGCCCGGAGAGGCACCGGCGGCTGCGTTTTGGCTCCTGCAGACCCCGGCAGAGCGCGTTTCGGCGCCGGAGGGGAGCCCCGGCTGACGGGACGTGGGATGCCAGCGTTGGGTGGCCATTAAATAATAATGCTGAAGAGCCTGGGGAGTAGGAAAAGCATACCCGTGCCCAATTCCCCTTTTCCACGCCTCCCAGGCAGCAAACTATCGTTAGTTAATATCGTAACGCTAATCTCGCATGCTGGCTTTGCGCTTCCCACCACCTCCCGCTCCACCCGAGGATGGAAAGCACGTGCAGAAGAGCTGCAGATGCCCCAAAGGGAGGAACCCCCCACCCTTTATTTGATGTAACACGGTGGAAATATTGTTAAACAGGGCTCAGATTAGTGCTTTTCCCCCCACTCCTTCGCTAAGAGAGGGCCTAGATCAGCCCTTAACGCGGCGAGGAGCAGAGGGGCTGCTGGCTCAGCGCGCGTGGCCGCGGCACCGCGGACAGCTCGGTCCCTCAAATAACTATTTTTATTTCCCGTTTTGGCCTTGGCGAGCGGGTTTGCGCACGTTGACGCACACCGTGGACTTCCCTGCGCGCCGCAGGGGCCTTCTGCGGGATGGGGGATAAAAAACCACGGAGGAAATGCTGACTTATTAAGGATGATGAAGATGAAGGGCGGTTGGGGTTGGATCCTGGGCACGGAGCTGGGGGAAGGAAGCCTGTCCGCAGCCAAGGCCATCTTCCTCCTCACCCCACGCCGTCCCTTCTCCATCCCAGCAGCCACCACCCATTTTTCCTCTCCCAGGGCAGCGAGACAGCGCCGTGAGCACGCCAAGAGAGCGGAGCTCCTCAGGTGGCAACATCAACGTTTATTTGAAAAGGGCATTCAGACGGTGCGGGCAAAAATATTGCGGGCTTCTCGGCCCTTTTTAACAACCCTCTCCCCCCTCCCCTGCCCTCGGCTACACACGCAAACGCCACAGCGCTCCGAAATACAGAGATGGAAACGCACACATGCACCTAAACCGCTGACTTTATAGAAATATACTTTGTCATCTATACGTACACAAGTATCTAAACTAAACGTGATGTACAAACAGGTCGCTTACACCGTCTGCGTGGCCGGGGGGGGACATGTACAGGCGGAGTTTGGGTCCCAAAGGCGGCGGGGCCGTGGTGAGCCGTGCCGGGGGACGCAGCCCGCTGGGAGGTGACGGCCCCAGCCCCGCTGCCGGGTCCCGTGGAAGGGAGCGAGGGAAAAGCACGGGGAGCGGAGGGATTGGGGGCTGCCCCCGGGAGCAGAGGCCAGGGGGGATTTTCCGCCCCCAAAGGGGATGATGGGCACCCCAAGCTGTGCCCCGTGGCTCCCCTCCTTCAGCACAGGGAAACTTGTGCTCATCTTCCCACCTTCTGCGTGGTTTCGAAGAGGTTTGGATGTGTTTTGCCGTGGACACACAGTTCAGGGGGGTAACTGCTTTGCCTACTGCGTTGCGTTCAAAATGTTCACGCTTCTCATTAGAACGGCCACGGGAGCAAGCCCTCCTTCCCCCGCTTTGCTTTCCCACTGCTGACCCCAAAACCCGCCCCAGCCAAAAGTCAGGCATAACCCAGGGAGCAAAAAGGGCTTGGGGACAGGGGACAGAGACACACGGGGACCCTGAGGAGAGGCAGCAGCAAGGGGAGAGCCTCAGGCAGCGGGCAGGGCTGGCACAGGCAGAGGCAGAGCCAGAGCCATGCTGCGAGCGGGACAGCGCCGTGATCCAGCCCAGGGACCGAAATAAACCCTTGTTTTTCCTGTCCTCTTAAGCTAGATCATTTCCTAAACCCGGATTACAGCACAACCACACAAACAGGCGGTGACCTCGGAGCAATCGCAAACTGTATCCGCCACGGAGTTAAAAAAAAAGGGGATGCGAATGTGTAATTACAGCTTAAAATAACCGCCTGAAGATCCGCAGCGAGAGGTGGCGGAGAAACAGGTGGTGGCCGAAGCAAGGCAGCGGGGCAGGGGCAGAGCCGGCGCGAGCGCCGAGCGGCTGCGTTTACCTGCTGTCCCTCCGCGGTCTGCAGAAGCAGCTCCCACGCCTCCGGCGTCAGACCCTTCTGCATCTCTTTGTGCAGCGAAGACAGAAGCGGCGCGTCCGGCCAGAGGGGAAGGAGGAGAGACCCCCCAGGGACCCCCCAAGGCTGCTCGGAGGGCGACGGTGGCGAAGCTGCAGGCAGGGCCCGTCTGCGAGCGCGCCCAAGCTCGCCTGGAGAACAGCCTTAGCGCACCGACAACTTGAAAGGCGTTTGGGAGCAAGAGAGACCCTGTCAACAACTGGATACCCCCAAGCGACCCTTCCTCCCCATCCCTACCGTCTTCACCTTGCACTTTTGGTTGGGTAGGGCCCCGAATTTTCTACCATGTGTGTCTAAAGCAAAACTCTCGATAGCCTCAACTTCCCCCAGCCCAAATCCAGTTTTATCCTATTGCACAAGAAGAGGCGCGATCCGTGGCCTGCCAGAGGCAGGGCTGCAGGGTGGACCCTGTGAAACACCTCTTATCGCAGCTGTTTCTGCAGCGTTGGGGTTTCTTTGCGATTACGGCTCAGCTGATTTAAGATTGGACTTTGTCAAAGTGATTCTGCTAAAAAAAAAAAACCAACAAACAATTCTTTCTTTGAGACACGAACCCCAAAACTGTGAAAACCCAACCCAAAAATATGAAAACGGTGGGCTAACGTGTTAACATTCCCCAGCGCGGTGGTTGCTCGTGCCTCGTGTCGCTGCTCCAGGCGTCCCGCTGCATGCCCGGGTGCGCTGCCTGTGGGCTCAGTCGCCCCAGAACCACCGCGAGCAACCTGCTCGTGACCCGGGCGAGAGGCACGGCTCTTGTGGGTTCCCTCCCCTCCCAAAAAAAAGTGGGTTTTCCCGAAGAAATCATGTTTTCAAGTGACCTGGAACCAGCCAGGCTGCTGTGTGCCCCCGCACTGGGATGGGACGATGGCTACCCTCACGCTGCACAGGGCAAGCCCTCCGTCCGCGGCACCGTGAAGCGCCCAGGGGAATTAGCCACGTGCCGAGGGGGCTACGGGAAGCTGCAGGCTCACAGGCCAGGAGTCGGACGTTGGGGACCATACCCCCTCCAGCAACCTGCCTCAAGCACCAGCTCGGACAGGCTTTGGTTTTGCGGCTGCCCCGGGCTCCAGCACGCCGCACCCCAGCCCCCCTCCTGCCTTTTACAGTCTCACGCCCTCCAGCTTCAGTCCTGCGCCTTGCCAGGGGCTCTCGACGTGGCCGACAGGGAGGGATTCCCCAGGGAACGGGTTTGTTCTATGCCAGGAAGATGTACGTGCCCAACGCATCTCCTCTCCCCTTCACAAAAAACAAAACCGGAGAGGGAGGTCAGAGCAACTACCCACCTCCCCGTGCCACTGTGCCCCGAGCCTCCTCCACCACCGACCGCTGCAAAAACGTGGCTGCGGAGGCAGAGTCCCAAAATAAATTACGGGAGACGGGTTTGTGGTGCCAACAAATCTTGGGGTGGCCTCGGTGTCCGTGTCCCCACCCGTCCTGCATGAGGATGCGGTTCCCGCAGGGTCAGCAGTCTCTCCCCAAGAGGTCCTCTGGCGCGAGCTGTGCAGCAGTGGCTCTGCCCTACCAGCATGGCCGCCCTCAGTACACGCACAGGTCCGGGAATTTCATCTCGTACACCGGGATGGAGTGGTTTTGGGGCTGGCCGTAGGCAGCTGTGATGGTGCCGGAGGGGCTTGGCGGTGGTCTGAAACACAAGAGATGGAAGGAGGCAGTTTGCAGAGAGGTTTGGTGAGGAAGCAAAGCCTGGTGCAGAAAACGCACATTCCTGCACTGTTGCAGTTCTCCCCGGTGCCACCATAGCAGAGGAGAACTGAGGCAACAAACCAGAGGCTGCTCCCAGCCACCCTTGTCCCCTGTGCCATCGCAAAGGCCCCAGTCCCAGGCTGGCACTCGTCCCCAGCACACGAGCCTCCTTGAGGGGGGACACGCGTGGCTCCCGTTGCCCCACAGCCAGCACTGGCCTCGTGGTCAGGCACCCCGTGCTCCAGCAGTGGGTTTTTGGGTGGCTCAATAAACCGTGCTTGGCTGTCACCCCCAACTCACCGTATGGTGATCTCGAAGATCTGGTTGAGCTTGCTCTGCAGCAGCGTCGCCTGTAACGCAGAGATAGCGGCTGTATTAGTGCGGCTGCAGCCTGAGGACCACAGCGGTACAAAGGGGACAAACACCCCGTTGGCCTTCCTCAGAGCAGGGAGAGGGCGGGCTGGCAAAATTCAGAGCTGCGTTGTCACCATCCACCTCTCCCCAGCCGAGAGGCCACGGGGATTTAGAGTGCCACAGCCCCGACTCACCCGGGCACCGCAGTGGGCAGCAATCTCCTCGAATGGGGCTTTCTGAAATTTCTCCACCACTTGCCGCCTCCGCTCTCGCTCTTGCTCCTCCA